GGTCGTTTCATTGCCACCAAGAAGGGAGTTACCTTTCCTTTAGCCCGTTGGTTAAAGTTTGAATCTCTTTTACCAGATATTCAAGACTACATTGACAATACTGGGAAAGAAGATGAAGAAGTACAGTGGCATGTTGGTGGAGGTGTGTTCGTTTCATTATCACCAGGTTATCCGACAGTGGACATAAGACACTTTTGGAAGCCAGACAATGTTCAAGAACCTATACCTACAAGGAAAGGTGTAACTCTAAACAGAAACAAAATTGCCAGACTTATCGATGTCATCGGGGAGATGCATGAATGTGTTCCAGAACTAAAAGACATTGAACTTTGCATGCTCAGCGAGTCTCATCAAAATCAGCTTGGAATGTTAAGCTGCCCGGAATGTACCCCCTTTGGTTACGATCCACAAGACAATATATCAATGGAATGTAACGCAAGTGATTTACAAGACATGGAAACCATTGAGAATGATCTTGAATGACAATGAACACTAATCCAACATAATTAATGATATGGGTGTAACATATATTTATTATTTATTAAGGTCTTCCGTCTTCACGGAAGACCTTATAGTGATTCTATTGTTTCTTATTTATTAGGGTCTTCCGTCTCCAACGGAAGACCCTTCTATTATTCTATTGTTTCTTTTTCACTTTTTTTCTTATTATTATTATTTTTCTCTATACCAATTTTTGTGCAGACGATTTCTCAGAGACGGCTTGGTCGATTTCCTTGAAAATTTCAGAGATGATCGATAATAATGTGAACCTTATTCATTTTTCTTAATTTTTTGAAATTCACTTCCGGTCACAAGTTATCGCCCTTTAATCGATTTTTATATGACATTTTTGTCCGGACAAAAACTCAAAAACGATAAACGCTAGAAGGCTGAAATTTTCAGGAGTAATAGACGACATATTGAAGATTTGTACCTATGTTTTCAAAATTTCCGGAAGTGCCTAGTATGGAAGCTCGGTAGGGGTCAAAATTTAGGACACGAATCTTGACTGATTTTTTGAGACATTTTGCATCATATCTTTTAAAGTATAATTATTTTGTTAAAACATACTGAGCAATATTTGTGCAAAATGACAAGATCTTTAATATAATATCAAGAAAAAAGTGCTGACTCATCACGTTAAGGGCTGAGAGGGGCCAAAAGTATTTAGTCGATAACTCTTTAACAGTCAATATTTTCTTATTAAATACTGAAGCAAAAATGTTTATCTCAACAATCTACAACTATATATTACAATTTAAATGTCGTATGGTACATAAGTAGGGGCCAAAAGGGGCCAGAATGCTAAATCTTTTACGCTGTATATCTCAAAAGTGGGAAATATTTTGATAAGTAATATTGAACAAAAGATGTTCAAAATAATGCTCTGAACAATATGCAACCTTTCATTTTTTGTTAAACGTCCCCATTAAGGAGTTGAAGGGTTGGCCCCTAAATATTTCTTTTACAAAAAACTCGAAAACGAAAGAGAATGTCTGAATAGTTGTTGAGCAAAAAGTGTTTAAAATCCTGAGAACTTTAAGATGAGATCAAGAAAAAGGGGCTGAGCACTCAAATTAAGGGCCGAGAGGGGCCAAAAGTCTTTAATCGATAACTCTTTAACAGTCGATATTTTGTAATACATTACTGAAGCAAAAATGTTTATCTCAACAATCTACAACTATATATTATGATTTGAATGTCCTATGGTGCATAATAAGGGGCCATAAGGGGCCAGAATGCTAAATCTTTGACGCTTTATATCTCAAAAGTTGGAAATATTTTGATAAGTAATATTGAACTTAAGATGTTCAAAATAATGTTCTTAACAATATGCAACCTTTCATTTTTCGATATACGTCCCCTTTAAGGAGTTAAAGGGTTGGCCCCTTAATATTTCTTTTGCAAATAACTCGAAAACAAAAGAGAATGTCTGAATAGTTGTTGAACAAAAAGTGTTCAAAAACATGAGAGCATTAAGATAAAATCCAGAAAAGGGGCTGGATATTCAAATTAAGGGCCGAGAGGGGACAAAAGTCTTTAATCGATAAACTCTTTATCAGGAAATATTTTGTTATACAATACTGAAGCAAAAATGTCTGATGGAATTCTAGAATATTCTTTTCGTATTTGATGAAATCGAGTTATGTTAAGTAATATTAGTGTATTATATGAAATGTTTTGTTTAGTATTTGAAGTTCCGTAGAATGTCTCCTTAATATGTATATATATGAAAATGGTACTTAAGTGTGTGTTGAGATGTGCCGTGAAAGTGTAATGAGAAGTGTTGTATAGAGGTTATATATATATGTTGAAAATATTGCCGCGAAGTAATACACTGTTCTGATTGGACAGTTGTTGTCATGACGTGATGACGTCACTTCCGGTGCGGGAGAATTTGAATCTAGTAAATGTCTTATATTCGGTGTCTGTGCTTAGTGTGTTGTAATTTGATTTTTTGTATGTTTGAGTTGAATTTGTTGGTATTGATTGCTATATGATTTTAGAAAGTGTTTTGGTGTTTCAGAAATGTCGTGAGAGCTTTAAGATTATATGAAGAAAAAAGGGTTGATCCCTAATATTAGGGTGCATGAGGGGCCAAAAGTCGAATTTTTAAGTCTTAATGTCCAATGTCTGTTTACAGATTATGGAGGCAAAATTGTTCTCTTTTACAATCTTTATCATTATTTTAGATTGAAATTCTCAATCAAAATCTTATCTTATCAAGAATCGGACGGAAGACCCACTCGTTGCTCGCAACGAGATCGTATCTAGTTATTATTATTATTCTTTTTTTGACAAAATTTTGTGCAGGCGATTTCTCGGAAACTATTCAGCGGTTTTTCACGAAACTTTCACAAAATATGTGTCATTATACGAAGTTGTTACATCCGAAGAAAAATTTGGAAAATGTCATTCCGGTTCCAAGTTATGGCCAATTTCCTGATTTTAAAATGCGATTTTGTCGCCCCTTTTTATCAAAAATGGCTGAGGATATGAACTGGAGACTTATTGGAGATGATAGATCATGACTTTGTGGTTTGCAGAATTGCCTTCTCGTGCGTCGTCAGCACTTCCGGTTTCTGCTGGAAGCATACTTAAAAAATGCAATTTTTCAATTTTTTTGTTTTTCAATATTTTTCTTTGATGTTTTCAATTTAAATAGAGACTCATTTGCAAATGGGTAATATGTAATTTCTTTTAGAATCCAAAAAGGCAATCTCGAGATATTTACATTTAAAAATTTGAAGCGGTGTTTTCAATGGCCGAATTGTTAGCGCGTTGGATTGTCACGCGGGCGACCCGGGTTCGCTTCCCCGAATTTCAAATATTTTTTTATCACTTTTTCTGCTAGATTTTTCCTTTTTTATTTCAGAATCGGACGGAAGACCTCTCGTTGCTCGCAACGAGTATTGTTCTAGTTGTGTATCTATCTTTTATGTTACTATTTCGTTTTAACAATATCAAAATAAAATAGTTCAAAATATACATTGTATTTTTTTTACAATGATATAAAATGTTACAGTCGAAGAGAGAGATCATTATTATGTTTCAGTATGCCAAACTATACGGATTACTTAAGGGAGCTCTACTACACCCCTGGTAAACCGGGGGCATATGCAGGGCCTGAAAAATTATATCAAGCTGTTAAACAGGAAGGCAAATACAAGATTGGTAGACAGAGAATAAGACAATTCTTAAACAATGAAGATTCTTATAGTCTGTATAAACCCATTCGAAAAACATGTCCGCGTTCAAAGGTGATAGTGAACACCATTGACTCTATGTGGGATGGTGACTTGGCAGACGTTTCAAACATTGCATCCCATAATGATGGATTTAAATTTTTATTAGTGCTTATTGATATATTTAGTCGATATTTATTTATAGTCCCCTTACAAAACGTTTCAAACATTGCATCCCATAATGATGGATTTAAATTTTTATTAGTGCTTATTGATATATTTAGTCGATATTTATTTATAGTCCCCTTACAAAATAAACATCATCAGAACATTGTTGATGGTTTAAAATCAGTTTTCCAAAAAGGACGAAAACCTAGCACCCTTAGAACAAATAAGGGTAGCGAATTTAAAAATCGTTGGGTAAAGGCGTTTCTGAAAAAAGAGGGAATAAACGTCATATACACTCAAAATGAAACAAAAGCAAATTATGCCGAGAGGGTAATTCGAACCATGAAGAACCTAATGTATCGTTATTTCATGAAGAATCGAACCTACCGTTTTGTGAATGTTTTGCAAGACTTGGTAAACAGTTACAACAATAGACCTCACAGATCATTAGGTGGGAATGCTCCAACCAATGTGAACCAAGAAAATGTCGATGAAATAAGGCTCGAGTCTTATCTTTCGGGGAAAACAAAACTAGATCTGACCAAAAACAATCTGAACCAGTGTAATGAATCAAGCAAAACAAAAGTGAAAAAAAGAGTGAAACCCTTTTTCAAATTAAAAATTGGAGATAATGTCAGAATATCACAACTAAAATACCCTTTTCAAAGAGACTACCAACAGAAATGGACAGAAGAGTTTTTTAAAGTGAGTGAAAGATACAAACGAGGTCAATTACCTGTGTACAAGGTAAAAGATTTAGCAGACGACCCTATAGAAGGTACATTCTATGAGCCTGAGCTTCAAAAAGTCATAAAGTCAGAAGACGTTTCTTATGGAGTGGAGAGAATTCTTAAAAGAAGACGTCGTGGTAAAGCCAAAGAGGTGTATGTAAAATGGGCTGGATGGCCAAAAAAATTTAATTCATGGATTCCGGAGAGCTCTCTGGAAAAACAATAAAAGCCATCATTTTTTAGCAATTTCTCTCATTCAAAATGAATGTTCGAATGGTGTTGACGTCTACGGACAGCTCTGAATATTTTGAAAATAAACCCAATTGCTTTCGAGTTCAATTAAATAAACAGATTCAATTTGACGGATATTGGACTGTTGCCCTGACAGAATATTCTACAGAGAGTTGGTTGTCATCTAAGAAGAAATCAGAGTTGTTTGTGTGTTGTGATATTTGTGAGGAAACCAGACCTGTTTACTCTCACGATTTCGCCGTATTTTGTACGGATTTTTAGTCCTAAATACGTCTCACGTTTTGCTTATATGAAAATACGGAAATAAGAAATATATACTTGTTTAGAATTGAGAAGTTAGTTTTTGTTATGATCTGTCTCAGTTCACCCTTTTTAATCGCGTAAAAAAGATTTAAAACACAGTAATGTCGGTTTGCCAAAATGCCGTGTTATAAAATGACCATGACCATGTTATTAAACCACATTTTAGTAATCAGACAAGCAGTTGTTCTCCATTTATATATGTTAAAATGATGAAAAGTGAAATCTTACTGGCAAATGCCAAATCTCACGGACAAATCTAATCAAAAATACTGAGAGACAACGATATGGGTAAACAGGTCTGGGAAACGATAATTGGGGGAAAAGAGGCACCCCTTCTAAGACGCGTATACCTAGGTGAGAAACTAGAAAGTATCACTTACACACTACCTTATTACATTCCAGTTAAAATTAGCCAATTACAGCAGATCGCTATATATATAACAGGCAGAGAACGAAACTTAGTTTCATTCTTAAACGGACCGGTGACTGTAACACTTCATTTCAAGAAGTTTCCATACGTTTTATGATGAATAGCCGAACGTACGTGAGTGATCCCAGAATATGGGAAGCTTTCTACAAGAACATGGCAGAGAAAAAATTCAACCCTTACAAATACAAGCCAAAACAAATTGGGAGAGGTGTGAGAAGTTACAAGTCTTACGTCATCCCACTGAGGCCTCACTCGCAGTTAGAACCTGTAGAAAACAGCACTCAAGTGACTCCAGTAGCTGCTGTGGAGGAAAGAGCAAAAGTGGAACATGCCAAGGACGTTAAAGAGGGTGTTCCATTTGTCAAAGTACAGGGAAGTATAAAAAGACCACATTCACAATCTTCTGTCATTCCTTCAAAGAAATTGAAGCCAACAACATCTCAAAGTCCGGGGAAAAAACAGTCAACTAAATCTGCAAAACAAAAAAAGGCCTCAGCAGTGAAGAAAAAGAAGACTGTTAAAAAACAACGAGCGCCACGCAAGAAAACACAGTCGAGAAAAAAGAAAGAATTTAACATTGACAGTTACAGAAGTGTCTTTAAACAGTAAAAATGGCATTTTTAAGCAGTGATAATAAAGACATAGCTCAACCAATGGAACTCTCTCTTTTTGCATCCCCCACAAACCAAGTAGCAGTCGAGAAAGTATATTTTACAGAAGCAAGACCAATTTCTAGCATAGGTGTATCTGACACACCCATCGAAACCGTAGTATCAGGCTCAGGAGCAGAATACATTGATTTAAAACGAAGTAAATTGTATGTAAAAGCCCGAATTGTGAAAGCAGATGGATCGACAATGGCAGCAAACGAAAAAACTGGTATCGTAAACTTACCCTTGCAAAGTATGTTCTCCCAGATGGATGTCTACTTGAACAACAAGTTAGTCTCTTTCAATACCAATAACTACCCGTGGAAGGCTTACCTCAAAACAATTTTGTTTAGCGGGGAAGACGAACTCAGTTCACAAAAACAATCTGAGCTGTTTTTTAAAGAAGAGGGAAATCTTGAAGATGCGAACGCATACAATGGAGGCAATGCCGGTCTGGTCCTGCGGTATGGTTATACTCAGCAAAGTAAAGTTTTTGAGCTGGAAGGAAACCTAATGGAAGATATCTTTGATATAGATAAATATCTAATAAACGGAGTAGACATCTACATCAAACTGTTTAGGTTCAGTGCCCCTTTTGTCATCATGTCTGCCAATAGTACTCCGGCATACAAATTAGAATTACAAGACGTTGTGTATAAAGTGGTCAAAGTGCGGGTAGATCCAGGTGTTTTACTCAACCACAGTAAACAGATTGAATCCACCCCTGTAAAGTATACCATATCAAGAAATGAGCTGAAAATGAATACCATACCCAAAGGATCTACCGAGTTTTACTGAGGCTTTTCATTCATACCTGCTTCATTAGCTGTCGACACAGGTTGAGTGGCTGATGATGATGTCTCTATGTAAAAAACATATACAATTATTTTATTTATTTATTTATTTGTTTATTTTTGCATTTCTTTAAAAAACCGAAATCTAAGGAATGTTTACAGTACATTACTACTGAGGGAAATTTATCAATAATGTCACGTGATGTAACATAAATAACGCCTCTGGGAAAAAAGCTGACCTCCTAGATCACGTGGTTTTTCATTCATACCTGCTTGACTAGTTGTAGACAGAAAGGTGGTTTTAGAGATTAATGGCGTAGTCTCTGGTGTCTCTGAAAAAAAAACCCAATTATAATATTATTATTTTAAACTACAGTTTATCTTAATCACACACATATACTACACGTCTTTCAATTAATTAATTTAAAAATAAATAAAAAAAATTGTTTACATTACCACTTCTACAGATAGTATACAAAAGTCAAGTAATTAACAATATTAATTCAAACGTATATACCTGTTTGCCCGGACTTGGTCAGCATAGTTGTCTCTATAAAAAAAACTATTACTCATTAAATCTTACTTTTGTAAAACAACATGTTATTGGACATATGCAATTATTTTATTTATTTATTTTTGCATTTCTTTAAAAACCGAAATCAAAGTAATGTTTACAGTACATTACTACTGAGGGGGAATTTATTAATAATGTCACGTGATGTAGCATAAGTCATGCCTCTCGGAAAAAGCTGACCTCCTAGATCACGTGGCTTTTCATTCATACCTGCTTGAATTGTAGACTGAAGTGTGGTTTTAGAGATTAACGGCGTAGTCTCTGATGTCTCTATGAAACAAGAGGCCCATGGGCCACATCGCTCACCTGAGTAACTTGGGTGATGCAGATCTTTACCAGATTCCCCCTCTTGCTATACCAATCATGCCCAACAACCCCCTTCCCTTTTTTATTTAAAAACTTTAGAATCTACACTACCCAAGGATGCTTCCACATAAGTTTCAGCTTTCCTGGCCTAGTGGTTCTTGAGAAGAAGATTTTTAAAGATTTGTTCTATATATTTCTATGTAAAACTTGGATTCCCTATTGTGGCCCCGCCCTACCCCCGAGGGTCATGATTTGAACAATTTAATATTTACACTACCCAAGGATGCTTCCACATAAGTTTCAGCTTTTCTGGCCCAGTGGTTCTTGAGAAGAAGATTTTTAAAGATTTGTTCTATATATTTCTATGTAAAACTTGGATTCCCTATTGTAGCCCCGCCCTACCCCCGGGGGTCATGATTTTAACAATTTAATATCTACACTACCCAAGGATGCTTCCACATAAGTTTCAGCTTTCCTGGCCCAGTGGTTCTTGAGAAGAAGATTTTTAAAGATTTGTTCTATATATTTCTATGTAAAACTTGGATTCCCTATTGTGGCCCCGCCCTACCCCCGGGGGTCTTGATTTTAACAATTTAATATTGACACAACCCAAGGATGCTTCCACATAAGTTTCAGCTTTCCTGGCCTAGTGGTTCTTGAGAAGAAGATTTTTAAAGATTTGTTCTATATATTTCTATGTAAAACTTAGATTCCCTATTGTGGCCCCGCCCTACCCTCAGGAGTCATGATGTTTACAATTTAATATCTACACTACCCAAGGATGCTTCCACATAAGTTTCAGCTTTCCTGGCCCAGTGGTTCTTGAGAAGAAGATTTTTGAAGATTTGTTCTATATATTTCTATGTAAAACTTGGATTCCCTATTGTGGCCCCGCCCTACCCCCAGGGGTCATGATTTTTACAATTTAATATTTACACTACCCAAGGATGCTTCCACATAAGTTTCAGCTTTCCTGGCCCAGTGGTTCTTGAGAAGAAGATTTTTTAGTGACCCCACCCTATTTTTGTCTTTTTTTGATTATCTCCCCTTGTAAGGGGACTTGGCCCTTCATTTTAACAATTTAAACTCCCCTTCACCCAAGGATGCTTTGTACCAAGTTTGGTTAAAATTGGCCCATTGGTTCTTGAGAAGAAGTCGAAAATGTGAAAAGTTTACAGACGGACGGACAGACAGACAGACGGACGGACAGACAGACGGACGGACGACGGACAAAATGTGATCAGAAAAGCTCACTTGAGCCTTCGGCTCAGGTGAGCTAAAAACAATTATAATATTATTAAACGTGTGAGATATTATTTTAAACTACAGTTTATCTTAATCACACACATATACTACATGTTTTTCAATTAATTTACATTTTTAAAATAAATAAAGCATTCTTTTACATTAGTACTAGGGTACTACTATTACTACTACTACTACCCACTACATATATAACAATGTCACATATGTAGTGACCATGATCGATACTTTTTAATAATAAATTTCGAGGGTATGTATACCTGATTGTCCGATCGTGGTATCATGCTTAGGTGGGGGTGAAGGACTGAATGTTGCCTCTATAAAAAAAATATGAACTAAAATCATTATCTTTGAAAATATAACAGATTATTATAATGACACATACTACAGTTTACTTTATGTTGAAAAGAAAAGGGGTGTTACATGTTTGTCTTTGAACAGAAATATGACGTAACAAAAGACACACACACACACAAACACTTCACGGTGTCACGTGTCGGGGTAGCTTGCTACCGTTTCATTTATTTGAAATAAAAAATATAGTTCATAATTTCATTGCAAAGTCTGATCTTTATGTGGTGAATTCGGGAATTACAGGGTTTACACGCACACCCCTTTTAAGCAAAAAAAAAAAAGAAATCAATAATATCACGTGACGTAGCAATTGAGCCACACGTTTGTGTTATGCGACTATTCAGTGTGGAGGTTACTTGATTACAACTTCTTTATAAAATACCTACAACCGATTACTACATATTTAAAAAAATAAAAAAAAGATCATTCAGTGACACACTGTGACCTTCATATGTTATATTCAGGAACTACCGTAATAAGAAAGGGGTTGATTTACACATGTACAAACATCTTTAGCAGAAAAATCAATAATACCACGTGCTTTGCGTAAGCCACTTGTAAAGTGTTGACGGGGGACTGGTTTTGAAATGATACTTCATTATGTGGCGGATTCATGATTTACTGTTCCAAAAAAGGGGGGGGGGTCGAAATCAAATTTACATGCGTTTTAAATTTTGTAAAAATCATAATTTGTACTTACCACAAATACGACCACGAAGATCTCGAATCTTGATCATGGCAGGGTCCCCGAAAACAATCACCCTGCTATGTCCAAAGGATGTCACAAACACCTCACGGACTTCCGTCACATTTACCCGGACTTCTCGACAGTCCGGCCAGTAACATGTCAACACCCTCCTGTCTACAGGTGCATTTTGCACCGATACAATGCATGCCATAATGATTACGAGCGTTCTGTCGTCTATCTTGCAATTAGATCTACACACTTTGACTTGGTCATATGTGCACGTGATGAAAAAGCGCGCGAAGTACCCCGGTCAACATCTCCCGGACGTATAGAATAACACCATTTATCACTTTAATGATTTTTTTTTTTGTTTAAGAGTGTCTGTTTAGAAACTATCACATAAAAGATGTATGGTAAACAATTGTCAACAGAAATTGTTTTGTTTATTTGGAGGGGAGGGATGGGGGATAAGGTATTGACACAGTTTATAACCTTATAGATAACCTTTTTTTGGTACAGGTCAGGGATCAGCTTATCTAAGTCATGTTTTACAACCTAAATCAGAATTCTTAACTAAAGTTTTTTTTTTCTAATCCATAAAGGTTTTTTTGAAGTCATGTGTCAAAATGATGTAGATTCTGTGTATTTATTAATAAAAATAAAAGTATGAGCTGTTCTCTTTTGTCAGGCTTAATTACTCTTACCTTCCCCTTTGTACATATACATGAATGTTATGTATGTTTATATATGTCATGTACCATTTACATGGATTTGAGTGAATAAATTGAAATGAATTAAAATAAATAATAACCTTTTTATATTTCTCAACTTTAAGATGAATAACTATAACTAATATTTTATCTGAAACTAAATCCGATTGAAGAACTAGTACTCCAGTTATACATACAACATCGCTCGATCGTGATATGGAATCGTGGATTGATGAATTGTGATATTGACACTTAAGTGGCTGTACTTTTTTCAGCTCTTTTTTACATAAATTCTAATTTTGATTGATCGGGAGTTGATCAAAATTGTTATGGAGTGTATGTTTATAATAATTGATTATTAGATTAATAAGGCTTTAGAAGATAAGTCAACTCGAAGAAGGATAAATACTAATTTATGTTTGGCGCAATTTTCAAGGTTACACTTGACAAACTTCTTTTTCTGAACACTTGGGTATTGATGAACTTAAGAGTTACAGTGGAGACGCGTGATAGTTTGGGCGCAATTTCCAAGGCTAAATTGACATACTTTTTTCTTAAACACACTCATGTAGGTATAGATAAACTTGTATCCTTTTGGAGTTACACAAGAGACGTGTGATAGTTTTGGCGCATTTTCTTTCTGGATATTTAAATGAAATTTTACAAAATAAAGACAAAAATAAAGAAACAACGATTAATTTAATTGCAGAATAGAGTAATTCAATTTCATTCCACAGAATGTAATTACAGACATTACGAGACCAACATCATATTTCCATACAATATCTCCGTTTTGAAATTAATAATCTTTATTTATATGTTAAATGACTTTTTATGCCTTTTCTGAGCTTCAACATATATCTGAGATATTGTCTGGTTTAATAACTCCAGTTAAATACAACATCGCTCGATCGTAATATGAAATTGTCGATTGATGAATTGTGATTTGGGAAATAATTGAATTTATTCGGGTCTTTTTAAAATAAATTTAAATTATTATTGATGAAGAGTTTATTAAAATTATGTTGTCTTTAGTTTTGCATTGAGAAGTTTTAGAAAATAAGCCAATCCGTAGAAGGATAAATGCTACGCAACAGACGCATGTCAGTTTTGGCGCAATTTTCAACTATGCTGACTTGACATGAACGTTAATACCTTTTTAGGACTTTCTCAATGTTGACCCCTCAAAAAGGGACATAAAGCCCCTATATCGACCTTTGTAAAATCATGATTTAGATTCCCACCCAAAAGCGAACACCTATAAATACGCGATGTTTCCTTCACTCCACCATCAGTCGAATAATTACCATTATATACTTAAGACAACCCTCCTCTTCTTCCAACATAATGGCGCAGAAATACCTAGACATGATGTAAGTGAATTTTTCCTATTTCAATTTTAAAATTTTGTAAAACTAATAAGATATGTATCTTAAATGTTAAAATAATAAAGCATTAAATCAAATTTAATTTTTAAAAAATCCAATTTTTTTTGTGATCATCTTTGATAATATATTATATAAATACCCCCTTATATATTTTGTTATATTTTTTAAACATTTTATAAATGTTATTAATGTTATATTATTTTTTTAAAAAAGGGATCAGGAAAAGGCAAGAACTTTCAAGGATTTCGAGGATGAATGGGTGGCTTTAGGGGAGGAACTCTGTCTCAATGTATTTCAACCAGGGTAAGTCGAATGCTAAGAAAATTGAGTATCAATTCTACAAAAATAATACAAAAAAATTACAATATTTTTAAATAAGAGATATATTACTATTTGAAATAAGTTAAATGTATTTTCTATAATTACACAAGAAAACTCCACTTTTTAAATATAAAACCTAACATTGATATTGATATAGAAATTCTCCTAAAGAAGAAGAAAACACCCAACCCATCTCTCCAAAAAAAAGAAAAAGACATTTATCCGAAACGGAGGATTCTTACATTTTAAATCAAAGGTAGGTTTTATTTTTATGAATTTCTTTAACAATTAGTTAATATTATGTGAACGCGTAATTGTTTATATGTTATACCATATTCAAACATTTCATTTTGAGACTTACTATACATGCATTACCTGAAATTTCATCTAGGACTTGACGTAACATTGTGAGTTTGTAAATATTTGATTTATCTGCAGAAGACTAAAGCATCAAAAGAAAAACGATGACGATAGGATAATCACTAATTTAAGGTAACATATGACTATGTGTTTGTGTGTGTGCGAGAGGGTGTGTGTGTGTGTGTGTGAGAGGGTGTTGTGTGTGTTTTCATTTTTACAATTATTTTTCTTTAATTTTTTATTGATATACTATGGTACATAGTATACATATAATACAAGGGAAATAAATTTCCAACTTTTGAATGTTGCATATAATGATAGTTGTTATTACTTTATTAAATTTTGGGGAAAAAATAGTAGTTATCTTTCCGTTTTTTTTTTTTTTGTATTCAGAAAAAGGGACCCTTTAAGGTTCAAAAACCTGGAGGAGAGGATAGGAGAAGACGGGCCTCGCGGGTGTTGGTCCTCAGAGGGACTAAAGACAGTAGCGACAATTAAGCGGTACTCGCCCCAGTTGCTGTAATACAGCGCCGCCGCGACTAGTACTGGGTTCTTGCCCCAGTCGCCGTCCCTGTCACTTGATTGCAGCACCACCGCGACAATTACCGGGTACTCGCCCCAGTCGCCGGATTGCACCATATTGACCTCGGAGGGACTCAAGGCAGTTGCGAAAATTACCCGGTACTCACCGCCCCAGTCACCGGAATGCAGCGCATTAACCTCGGAAGGACTCAAGGCAGTAGCGACAATTACCCGGTACACACCCCAGTTGCCGGAATGCAGCGCCGCCGCGACCAGTACTGGGTTCTTGCCCCAGTCGCCGTCCCTGTCACTCGATCGCAGCACCACCGCGACAATTACCGGGTACTCGCCTCAGTCGCCTGATTGCAGCACCACCGCAACAATTACCGGGTACTCGCCTCAGTCGCCTGATTGCAGCACCACCGCGACAATTACCGGGTACTCGCCTCAGTCGCCTGATTGCAACACCACCGCAACAATTACCGGGTACTCGCCTCAGTTGCCTGATTGCAACACCACCGCAACAATCACCGGGTACTCGCCTCAGTCGCCTGATTGCAGCACCACCGCGACAATTACCGGGTACTCGCCTCAGTCGCCTGATTGCAGCACCACCGCAACAATTACCGGGTACTCGCCCAAATCACCTGGGCAGTCTAACACTACACCGCCTATGGATTTCTTAAAACGTGTAGTTGGCGGTGCCTTCCCCCTTCATAGGGAATTGGGTGCCCTACATGAATTGGTCGACAGCATGAGAGTCGACCTGTTGCAGACATCGATGCTGCTTGATTATGTTAAAAATTTTTTAAAGAGTTATAAATTTTAAATTCAATTGATTATACGTTTTTTTCTCATTGAAAAAGACTATTATTGTGTATCATAGTGTACCATTGTAAACAATGCCAAGAAAGTTAACTCTGGCAAACATTGTATGAAACATTTACATGTTAGAGTTACTTTTCTTTCTATAATTCAAAGGGATTGGATTACCGAGTGAGTTGCTCTACTTTTTGAGAGTCCTCTTGTAGTAAATTCTAAGTTAAACTGATTATCCCTATAGATTTTTATACCCCCCGCTTGAAAAGCGGGAGGGTATATAGTAATCGGTATTTCCGTCCGTCTGTACGTCCGTCCGTCCGTCCGTCCGTCCGTCCGTCTGTCCGTCCGTCCGTCCGTCTGTTACGCTTTGGGGTACCCATCTCTTATCCGTAACTCCTCTCATACCACTGAATGGAATTTGATGAAACTTTCACAGAATCTTTATTACATATTGCCATTGTGCACCTCCTATTTTACTTTTTGATCCGACACATATTTTGGGTTTCCCGGCCACAGGAAAACATGGACTTTTTCACCAGTTATAACCATATGGGAGGCGGGGGGTATCATTTAGTGAGCTCATCGCTCACAGTACCTCTAGTTTGCTTATTATTTATGAAAATGAATGAGTCATGACAGCATGAGAGACGACCTGTTTCAGACATCCATGTTGATTGATTATGTTATACATTATCAAAGAGTTATAAATTTTAAGAGCCATTCTCTGTAATGATTTGAAATTTTATATAGGAGCTGTGGCACGCATAGTCTCAGAATTTCTCCAAACTCTCTATGATAAAAGTCATTGATACCCTAAACTGAAATCAGGCAAAAATTGGTTGCTATGTTTTACAGTTACCATGGCAACATGTCTTAAAGTTCGAAAAATGGCATTTTTTAACATGTTTAGAGCCCCATAGTTAACATTTGCGGCAAAGCAAACAATTGGCAATGACTGTTTCCAAAAGTTGAAGGTCAGATGTCTCAAATGCATGATGAACATATTTGGCAAATCAACTATTACATACGTTACTATGGTAACAAAGTATTCAAAAGTAAAAAAAAATATTCATTGAATTTTATAAAGTCATACCCGTAAAAATAAAAAGCAATTGTAGGGTGAAATGTGACCAAATAATAGAAAAAAGAGCCTTGAAACATATACCAAGAACAAAATATGATATTTCATTTTGGTTGGCAATGGTTGCCAAGGTTTTTATATCACAGGGAGCCTTCAAAGTAACACTCTGTATGTTTAAATCTGATCCTATCTTTAAACCAGAAGTCTCTGTCGAGACTGTAGCTCTACTGGTTTGTACTTATCAAAAACCATTGCATTATTTTATGTATCATTGTGTAGTCTACTTGTGTGCCAACTTATTTTGAAATCGAACCAAAACTGTAGAAGGAGTAGCGTTTTAAAGGAATTTCACATAAAATTCTATTTTTATTAACCATGGCAACACCGTTCATTGGAATTAAAAACCGATGCACTATTCTATGTATCGAAGTTTAGTCTACTTTTGTGCCAACTTATATTGAAATCAGACCAAAATTGTAGAAGAAGTAGCATTTTGAAGGAATTTCACAGAAAATTCTATTTTTAGTAACAATGGCAACACCGTTCATCGAAATAAAAAACCGATGCACTATTCTATGTATCTTAGTGTAATCTACTTGTGTGCCAAGTTATATTGAAATCATAACAAAATTGTAGAAGGAGTAGCGTTTTAAAGGAATTTCACAGAAAATTCTATTTTTAGTAACCATGGCAACACCATTCATCGAAATCAAAAACTGATGCACTATTCTATGTATCATAGTGTAGTCTACTTGTGTGCCAACTTATTTTGAAATCGAACCAAAACTGTAGAAGGAGTAGCGTTTTAAAGGAATTTCACATAAAATTCTATTTTTATTAACCATGGCAACACCGTTCATTGGAATTAAAAACCGATGCACTATTCTATGTATCGAAGTTTAGTCTACTTTTGTGCCAACTTATATTGAAATCAGACCAACATTGTAGAAGGAGTAGCATTTTGAAGGAATTTCACAGAAAATTCTATTTTTAGTAACAATGGCAACACCGTTCATCGAAATAAAAAACCGATGCACTATTCTATGTATCTTAGTGTAATCTACTTGTGTGCCAAGTTATATTGAAATCATAACAAAATTGTAGAAGGAGTAGCGTTTTAAAGGAATTTCACAGAAAATTCTATTTTTAGTAACCATGGCAACACCATTCATCGAAATCAAAAACTGATGCACTATTCTATGTATCATAGTGTAGTCTACTTGTGTGCCAAGTTATATTGAAATCATAACAAAATTGTAGAAGGAGTAGCGTTTTAAAGGAATTTCACAGAAGATTCTATTTTTAGTAACCATGGCAACACCGTTCATCAAAATCAAAAACTGATGCACTATTCTATGAATCATAGTGTAGTGTACTTGTGTGCCAAGTTATATTGAAATCAAACCAAAACTGTAGAAGGAGTAGCATTTTAAAGGAATTTCACAGAAAATTCTATTTTTAGTAACCATGGCAACACCGTTCATCGAAATCAAAAGCCAATGCACTATTCTATGTATCTTAGTGTAGTCTACTTGTGTGCCAAGATATATTGAAATCATAACAAAATTGTAGAAGGAGTAGCGTTTTAAAGGAATTTCACAGAAAATTCTATTTTTAGTAACCATGGCAACACCGTTCATCGAAATCAAAAACCGATGCACTATTCTATGTATCTTAGTGTAGTCTACTTGTGTGCCAAGTTATATTGAAATCGAACCTAAACTGTAGAAGGAGTAGCGTTTTAAAGGAATTTCACAGAAAATTCTATTTTTAGTAACCATGGCAACACCGTTCATCGAAATCAAAAACCGATGCACTATTCTATGTATCTTAGTGTAGTCTACTTGTGTGCCAAGTAATATTGAAATCAGACTAAAATTGTAGGAGGAGTAGCGTTTTTAAAAATTGTTTACAGACAGACGGACAGACAGACGGACAGACAGACAGACAGACAGACAGACGGACGGACGCCGGACGCATTACTATCGCATAAGCTCTTCTGGTCTCTGACCAGTAGAGCTAAAAAAGCAAATTCCCTCATAACTAATGATCAATTTTATAAGATGTTGGTGTGCTCCAAGTTTTCCCATTTGAAAAAATTCAGATAAGATTCTTCAAATAGAGCGTTGCTATGGAAATAAGCAGAAAATATATGCTTAAAAACCTGAAAAATATTTTCTTTCCTTGGATACGTACCCTTAAACGTAGATTCCCAAAGCTTTTATGATTGATATTTATTAACAGCTAACTTGACTTTTAATTTTGACTATCATCCAATCTCTAAGTGGATGCAAGAAGTTGGCACACAGGGTTTAATATTGATGTTAAGTTCACAAAATCGGACATTTTCCCTTCTTGGTAACCATAGCAACAGTGTTGTTTTATTCATCAAATTTTATCAATATATGATTTTCAACTTCAGTTCTAACATATTAAGTACTATTCAAGCTGAGTCCTTTAATTTGTTTCTTAATTAAATGGCAATTTAATTCTTAATGCAGCGAAAAATACTTCACTTTTAAGCACTGGTACTTTGTTTCCATGGTAACACTGCAAAGTAGCAATTATACCTAATATTTCTTATGGTTTTGGTGTTGCAAGGTCCTAAGGATACATATTTGCCAGTCTTGAATTTTCATGTTTTTCCTCAAGACAGTAGCATTAACCCAATCTTAGTTACCGGTTTTGCATGGTTACACTGTGTTACCATGGCAACCATAAAAGTTATTTATAGTATAATATTGCTTATACTTATATACTTAAGGTCAAACATTTTCATTGTTTTTCTTAAGTCGTTGACTGAGTTTGAGCATGTAACACCTACCATTAGTGAATACGGAGTATTTTTCAGCATATTTTAGCATTTTAAATGTATTCCAAATGTACCCTTGGTTACCACTTACTTAAAGATATATTCTAAACAGTTACTTTACAGTATAAGTGACATCAAGGTGTCATGTTTTTGTGAGAATGGTTTGTTTGCTTTTTCTAGTTTTTATTAAGCCACAGTCAAGATTTAAAGTGGCTGAAAATCTCGATTTTTCAAAATTTTCCGGCTGTTGCCATAGCAACCGAGACACATAGCAACGAAATTTTGTTTGATATTTGTTCCTGGTGTCAAGTTCTAAGCATGGGTGAAGTTTCATCAAAATCGGTGACCATGCGTGGCAACGAAGTTTAAGTGGTTACAGAGAATGGCTATTAATTTCAATTGATTATACCTCTATGATTTGTTTGTATTTTATTAAAAAGACTACCATTGTTTTAAATAGTGTACCATTGTGATTTTTAAAGAGTTAAAAATTTTAATTTCAATTGATTATACCTTAATGCTTTGTTGTATTTTATTGAAAAAGACTACCATTATGTATCATAGTGTACCATTGTGAACCAGCTATTGTTTCAAATGTCTGATACAAGTTTCTTTGAAACGCAATTCTTTTAAATCGGAGGAACCTAGTTATGTTGTCCACTGATTTTTACCAATAAATGATATTTAGAGAAAATGTTTATATCGTATAATATCACAAAGTTTATCTCTTATTAAAATCTATTTCAAAGGGTCATTTGTGTTGTGTTTCATTTTCCGAAATTATTCAGGTGCTTACCGTGAATGGGTCATTGGTTCTGTGACTGTAAATGATGTAAATCCAAGGACTTGTCATATTTTATACTGTATCGCACTCAGGGGTGTAACCGTTAACGCCCATAATATAGAACGGTATAGTGGTTGTTATCAGTTAAAATATGGAACGTGATATATATTGTGGGTGTAACCGTTAACGCCTATAACATTGAAAGTCATAGTGATTGCTATCAGCTAAAATATGGAACGTCATATACATTGTGGGTGTAACCGTTAACACCCATAAGATAAAAAGTCATAAATTTTAAGACGTCAGTGACTGTATACTCACCCTTGACTGTGAACTACCTCGTGAGGTCATTGACTGTAAACTCACTCTTTGCACTTAGATACCTATGACGTCATTGACTGTAGACTCACCCCTTGACTGTGACCCATATTATGACCTATGTGGGCGGGGTCTGGAAAACCCCATGACGTCATCGTGACTGTATACTGACTGTGTACTGTCCCCCTTACTACTTTCGTGGTCTGTAATGAGACGAAAACGTCTTCCATAAACATAAGTGTTGAAACGTTTTACTCCCCAGATAATTCCTAGAGCTTCCTTCTCTATCTGTGAGTAGTTTTTCTCAGATGTGCTGAGTGAACGTGACGCATAAGCAATTGGTCTCTCTTCACCATTGGGCATAATGTGGCTTAAAACAGCCCCAAGGCCATAAGGAGAGGCGTCTGTCGCAAGACATAAGGGTAAGTTTGGATCATAATGGGTAAGTACTTCATCTGATGTTATGAGCTTTTTAACTGTCTTGAAAGCCTCCTCACTATCTTTTGTCCAACACCACTTGCGGTCCTTTTCCAGTAAGTTGTACAGTGGGTGAAGTACTGTAGATAAATTGGGAATGAAACGTGCATAGTAGTTCACAATCCCTAAGAATGAACGAAGCTCGGACACATTAGTAGGTTGTGGTGCATTTACAACAGCTTCTATCTTCTTCTGTGTCTTTTGTA